CGAATAACTTGACAAGCCATAAATTTAAAGGAACCTGTTCTTGGGGTCCCTTGCCATGTGGTTCAGACCTATGTAATTACCACAATGTAAAATACACCTTATTAATACTGATATACGGTTTAATTCAGCTTGTATAATCATATAGAAATCAATCACAATTAATTTCAACCATATTGTAAAGGAATACGCGTCATAATAGAATATCATTATAATAGCGTTCCATTTCGTGTGTTCTTAGAATAATTTGAATGCGTGGAATTTTATTTTGAAAAATTAACAGAATTCAATTGATTGTTAGAATTGTAACAGATTGAAAGAGTATTTAGTATTATGATAAATATATACAATAGTTTGATTATTATAGTGTACTAGCTTTTCGTCCGCGTGGAGTTCGGTTATATCGCGTTTCCATGAGAACCTTTCAAAAGTCTGTGATAAAAACTATCCTATGTTCTTTCTCAAGGTTAACTCCATCTCTGTACTAAATTTCATTAAAATCAGTTCAGTGGTGAAGCGTGAAAGCTTAACAGACAGACAGACAGAGTTACTTTCGCATTTACAATATTAGTAGGATCGTGTATTTTATGTTTATAGTGTACTTAAATATTAATAATATATAATATTTAATATAACAACGTTAATAAAACATTTTCTATTTAAGTTTGGCATATTGAATAATCCTAAATAGTAAATATTAATGGCTTCTTTGAAATAGTCATTTAATTATTAATTTATTGAGGTCTTAGGAAATTTATTTTATATATATTAAACATAAAGGTATACAAATAATTTATTAATTTTATTTCAATGAAAACTAAGAACTGTAAGTTACGTAGTTTTTACTTATTATCAATTCATAATATTAATAATTTAAATGTTTAGTTTCACGAAACAAACTTGTACGAACTGTAATTAATACATACATAATATATGTAAGAAAGTAAACATTACTTACTAGCTTACACGCATTGTTTGGACCGTGTTTGTTATATTAAAAAAGTTTTATTGTATACAAGAATACAATATTAAATACACGCTTATAGGAATACTTATACTTATAATATATACTATATGACCTATATATAAGGTCCAATTTTCAAAGAAATAAATTTAGTAAAATTATAAAGCAATATTTTCAATACTTATCTGAATACAATCACAACTATATACCTCTGTCTATATGTATATACTATATATTTTTAATTGAATTTATCAATATACCGAAAAAACTTAGTAAATCGTGATCTATTAAATTAGTACTAGGGTATAAACTTAAACATGAACATTTATTAAACTGTTAATATTATAATTTTTATAAACAAACATACATTCATATATATCATGAGAACAAACGACTTTCATCTATGTATGTAAAAAATATATATTATTGTTCGATACAGATTTCATAAGAAAAGTGAAAAAAACTTAAACTCAACAAAAACTTGCGTCACAAGATATAGCATCTAACGATATATCTCAAGATATAATGTACCGCTTTAGAAGCTTTTGTATAGAACACTAGCTTTCCGCCCGCAGCTTCGCCCGCGTGGAGTTCGGATATATCGCGTTTCCAAGAGAACCTTTCAAAAGTCTGAAATAAAAACTATCCTATGTTCTTTCTCAAGGTCTACTCTATATCTGTACCAAATTTCATTAAAATCAGTTCAGTGGTTTAGTCGTTAAAGCGTAACAGACAGACAGACAGTTACTTTAGCATTTATAATATTAGTAGGGATAAGCTATAAACTACTAAGCCATTAAATTTGCATGTAACACATCCAATATATTATATATAATATATTAAATATTTTCAAACAATAAATTTAACAGGTTCTTCATATAATTAAATCCATTAATTATTTATCTCGTATGTAGCGTGATATCCGTTGCATTCCGTCGCACACGACTTGCTGTCATGTTATGTACAAAATTATTTTAATTAATATTCATACGAAAATATACTTTATGTGCATGTAATAAAGATTACAATGAACGCATTATATAACTTGGTGTCTGTAGTTCGCGCCGAAACGGTTGTTATACGAAAGTAGCCTTTAATGCGGTTCATATAAAACTATAATAATTTCATTGAAGAATATATCTTATTGAATTACCATAAGGTTGATTTTTAATTGTAGTTGTTACGGATCTTTGATTAAGAATTTCATAATAAAATCTGCTTATCGAAAATATATCTTAATACTATGGCAGTAAGGTTTAACTATTTTATGATTTCATTGTATGGTATTAATAACAGGATTATTATTGATTTAATTCAGTCAATTTTAAACCTTATCCCCTTATAATAGAGTTGTTGAAGTGTGTAAGTTAAATTTGTATTTGGACCCTTGAATCGTAGTTTTCTCCGTTCGCGTCTGGTAGTGGCCTACATAGTTGTATATAAAATAACTTTTAACTGATAAAATAGTTTGTTTGTTTGATAAGAAATTATTAATATTAATAATTAATATACATATATCTTAGACATACCCCTACTAATATTATAAATGCGAAAGTAATTCTGTCTGTCTGTCTGTTTGTTACGCTTTCTCGCCTAAAGCACTGAACTGATTTTAATGAAATTTTTTGCACATATAGAGTTGACCTTCAGAAAGAACATAGGATAGTTTTTATCCCAGACTTTTGAAAGGTTCTCTTAGAAACGCGATATAACCGAACTCCACGCGGACGAAGCTGCGGGCGGAAAGCTAGTAGATTAAATAAAACTGCATATAATTATATATTTATTTATTCCAATTCTTCTTTACTAATCGTACATTGTTCTTAGCAAAGCGAAGTAAGACCAGGAACGACTTAAAATCTGTAAAAAATATATATTATTAAAAATGATTGCCATTTTATCGGTTAATTGAAAATAAATATTATATCGGTTTATATGGAATCTCTCACATGACGCCGGTGTTGCCATAATGATGACAATTATCTACTATAATTATAAAATAATATTACATATTAATAAAATTTTTGTTATTAATTAAAATTTATATTTATATTTTGAGTATAATTAATGTTCTTTATTTTAAAATGATGAAATCATAAATTAAATATTATATATTATATTCAGCAAAATTAAATTAATGCATCTACATAAGTTCCTAAGTTTGAATTCTATTTGCTAATTATTTATATACATATATGTATAGTGTTGTATGTATGTGTGTATGTGTAACAGGCATCAACTAGATGAATCATAAGAGACTTGCAAAACCAATTACAGAGTAAATTACTATGAATCATAGCTAAATATAACAAAACTTTGGATTACTGACACGTACACTGACTTACTCACTCACTATGTACACTCAGAAACACTAATAATGACTTTATATTAACTATGCAGTATTAAAACTCGAGTATTCGCCGCATTTGTCCAAATATTTGTACGTATTCCAAATATCGCAAACATCACATCCACACTTGGCATGCCAACAACAAGTCTTCGCTTATTAGGCCTCGGCCTCGAATTTTGCGGGCAGCGGAGCGGCGGCGGCGGCGGCGGCACGGGCAACGCATACTGTTCTCCAAACTAGCGGGCAGCGGGCACCGCTGTATTCGAGGGTCGGTCCATTTGATTATACGCGTAAGATCCTGCCGCTCCCGCTGCCGCTCCGCTGCCCGCAAAATTCGAGGCCGAGGCCTTAGTGTCTTATTTGTGCAAATATGTCAAATATAGACGAATAAATCCTCCACACATGGTCTTGTTTGGACGAACACAACAAATAAACGTCAAGTGAAGTGCCTTCTTCTGTATATATTTGTTTCATTTGATTATGTGTCCGAATGTTCGCACCGAATTGTATCGAACCGAGTATTCGGACGCATTATTCGGTCAATTTTGGTATGACGTTATACCTAGGTAATAGGTATAATAGTATTTTGATACCCGTAAGTATCAAAGCCGTATAGAATTAAAGCCTGCATTTTTGACCATTAGTACCAAATCTACAAAATTTAGCTAGGCTTGAATGGAAAATATTGTACCTGAATTTATAAAACGAAAAACTTACATCGTCTTTTTCTTTTATATCCGTAGTTATACCTTACAATACAATTTATCTTCAAGATTTAATAATACGAACTCTTTACATATATGTCCTAATATTAATGAAATTTAATAAACATTACAAAACAGTGCAAGTATTTAGTTTGTAAAATTTCAGGAACAGAATCTAAACTAGATAATTAATAGGTACTGAATTTCAGTCCTATTATGTGAAGCACCAAAAACCAAAGAAAATCTATACACATGGCTATTCAGCCATAATTTTCTTATTCACACTGCTTTCAGGTGTATTGCGATAAATTATTTTCCAATGCAGGAAATATTGACAAAGAAAAGATTATGATAATCTAACAATTAACGAAGCTATGTTTTTTTGCATCTTTATTCATTATTCTTATATTTTTAATCTTAAGTATATAAGTGTTGATTATTAATATAGCGTTTCTTTATAACAAAAACTGTAATATTGTTATGTTCTTCTTCTACCTGGCAATTTCCCAGCTTTAGCCAGGGTCTGACATCAACCCTCTTTGGGAATGCATTAATCATTGATGTCTAAATACGCTTAAAAAGTACATATGACTCGGAAAAATCACATTGGTAAAAATCAGTATATACATAAATATGTGTGTGTGAAGTCAGTGGTGGCCTAGTGGTTAAAGGGCCCGCCTCTCATTCATGAGACCGCGGGTTCGAATCTAGCAAGTAGGTACCAATGTAATTTTTCCCATTTATATGTACTTTATTTCCCATATGTATGTGTCATTTATATGTATGGCAGACTCTGGCTAAAGCTGGGAAATTGCCAGGTAGAAGAAGAAGATATATCTGTGTATATCTATTATCTAGTTTTTAATAAACGTACCCTATTTCCTTTAATACACAGAAAAAACAAACACCTAATCCTTTTATTTGTTTAGTAGTTTTTGTGTAATCAACAGACATACATATATTAATATAGTATATATATACTAACCGTTGTAAATGATCTCAGATGCAGATCAGCGAAGTTCGCGGCTGTTATCTTACAGGGCTGCTGAGATCTAAGGAAAAGATAAAAGAAAGATATGTGTATGTTTGTCTGTGTACCTTTATACATCTTCTATCTTCTATATATATAAAAATGGATTGCTGTTCCTTAGTCTCGCTAAAACTCGAGAACGGCTGAACGGATTTGGCTAATTTTAGTCTTGAAATACTCCTGGAAGTCCAGGGAAGGTTTAAAAGGTGAGAAAAATTGTAATAATTGCCGGGAAAACCCTAAAAACAGCCCTTTTCTATTTCCCATACAGACGTTTTTTTTGACATTAGATTTGACAACTAACTAATATGTCAATCATTCTGTTCAACTGAAACAGGAGAAACCTGATTATTAATGGCCTCTAAAACGGAATAGAGTTCGCCCAGTTAGCTATACATATATTACTAATAACGAAACTAACGCGGACGAAGTCGCGGGCAAAAACTAGTTCTTTATAAGATTACTAAGTTTGCCCTGTCTGACAGATCTGGGGTACCCCGACATAGCGGCCGATGGCTTTCGCAGTGGTTTTAGTGAGTATACTAAGTTATATTAATCTTTATTATAGTAAAAGATTATAAAACGTACCTTCTCTGAGATCGTATCTATCTAAACACAAAAGTTCATTGAAATCGGTTCAGACTTATTAAACTTTAAAAATACATATAATTCAAAATTTACAAAGAACTTAATACTACGTAGTAATAAAATTACTTCATTTTAAATAAAATTTGAACCTTTTATACGAGCTAACAACTTGATACTACACAAATGACATTTCCATCATAACCATTCTTTTGATAGTTCTCGAGTTATGAAACACAAACATACATATTAATTTCCATTACAATATTATTACCTGAATAATATCAATAAGACGCTCTTCTTAACATCTTCATCAGCTTCGTACCAATTACTGTTGTAAACCGATTGTGTTATATTATAACTCTACAAATAATAAGAAAATTAAATAATTTATTATAATAAACACACACACACACACATATATATTATCATAGTTTTTAGTAACATATATGTATGACGAATAATTTCACATCCAATTTACTAGCAAGATAATAAATAATTTTGATGAATTTTTTTACTACTTATATAAATATATGTAGGTACCTATATAATAAATCTATTACATTTATATTAAATAAATTTACCTCATATATATATTTTAATTCTCTATAATACATATTTTAATTTATTAATTATTAATTAATTTTTCTTACTGAATCTATCATTTGGTCTCCGAAGAAGCACATCAGGAATATTTCAGTGAGGCTGTTCACGAGGAACGGAATGAACAGGAGATAGGTGCTCATGTCCTTACTCTTTATTATCTAGAACATATATAACATATAATATATTTATATATAAAAGAAAGTCGTGTTAATTACACTATTTATAACTCAAGAACAGCTGTAGATATATGGTTGGAAATTGGTGGAGAGATAGATTAGAACCGGGAGACGGACATAGGATATTTAATACTGTTCGATTGAAAAAGAAAAAAAAAACTTTAAAAACCATGTATGGTTATGTATGGCCTTTAAAATAGAATAGAGTTCGCCGGGTCAGCTATACATATTATATTACTAAGGCACAAATTAATGCGAAGTCGCGGACAAAAACTAGTATTAAATATTAAGTGTTTTATAAAGTAATATATATTAGTTGTTTCTCTTTACTAAAAAAAAATCTAATGACTAAGTAATTTAAAAGTTTATCAGTTTAAAATATATTTACAAATTAAAATCTATATAAATTTCGAATTTTTATTGATATACTCGTAAATAAATTTTAAAAGTTTAAGTAAATCCCTACTAATATTATAAATGCGAAAGTAACTCTGTCTGTCTGTCTGTTACGCTTTCACGCCTAAACCACTGAACTGATTTTAATGAAATAAGGTTCAGGTATAGAGTTGACCTTGAGTAAGAACATAGGATAGTTTTTATCCCAGACTTTTGAAAGATTCTCTTGGAAAAGCGATATAACCGAACTCAACGCGGGCGAAGCTGCGGGCGGAAAGCTAGTAGATATATATTACAAATAATCTAACACCCATAATAAATTCAATTGTAACTTCGCAGTTACCTATATATTTTTTAAGCTCAACTTTAACCTTACAGTTAAATGATTAAACCAGAACGTTGTTAAAATTAATTGTTCATACGTGATCATAAACGTTAACATTGAAATCTAACATTTTAACTTTTCAACTGAGGTTAAAATAATATAATAATATGAGATTGTTAGTAAAAAATAAGGAAATAGATATATGTATATAAAAAAATATAACCTTTACTATATCAACATATATCTTATTCATATATCAAATTCTCGTGTCAAGGTGTTAGACAGAGTACTCCTCCGAAACGGCTGAACCAATTTTGATGAAATTTTGTAAGCATATTGAGTAGCTCTGACTTCCGAGAATCGGAAGTCAGAGCTACATATATTTTTCATACCCCTAAGTCACCCTTTTTTTCGGACGATTTTTTTTTATTTTTGTTATAATGTAGCATTAAAAATACATACAACGCGAAATTTTTACTTTTTTATCACCAACACCTATTTTTTTTATGGCAAAAAAACCTTTGCCGGGTCAGCTATATATATATATATTAAATATTAATTATATTAAAACATAAATATCTTTACCGTTATATTAAAACCGCACAAGCAGATTATGAGTGAGCTAGTCATGATGTTGACGAGCGTCGACTTCGAGTACAGTATGTTGATCTGGTTCACTAATCTATAATCATATCAAAAATATATATTATATATAAAAACTCCTTAGATTATTATTTTTATTTAATCAACTTTCATGTTTACCGGCCAGTGAAATATATAATAAATATATAGAATCTCTTTGGTTGGTTATATATTTTATATTGAATTTTATGAAAATAAAATTTGAATTTCGAATCATATTACTAATTTACTTTAAATATACTTAAGTTAAAATGATTGTACCTATATGTATACGAGTATATTTAAATTAAGTTCTAGATAGTGAAAATTATTTTAATTAATATTAAATATATAATATCTATAGATCTTAACATAAAAGAATATTATACTGTTGTATAATCAAATTTTTAAACCCACTTATAAGTTTAAATTTCGAACACTTCATAGATTTCGTAATATGAAAACCAATTTTAATCCTACTAAATTTCCTTATACCAAAACTAGTTGTACTTTTATCAAATATTTTTTAAACTATTTTTATTTTTATGGTATATATTATACTAACTTTATAAGCACCTGATGTGTTTGCACACATCTCCTTAAATTGTTTTTCGTCTCTCCTTCAGTCTGTCCAATTATATTTTCATAATAATGTCCAAGTATCCTGAAATGCATCTTCAAATACGAACAGAAAGCGAAGAATAATGTATCGGCTGCGAATATGTTCATACTTACTAGAACCGCTGGAAAAATGAGAAACTAGTGATGTACCTTATTAGTTATTTATCGGTTTTTGATTTTATATCCGATAAATTGTTAGTAATCTGGTACATCACTAAAGTAAAAATTCTGATGAAGTGTTTTTTTTATTTAATTGTCTATAGCTTATGATTTTTGTTTATTTATTTTAATGTGAAACTTCCCACGTACGGTTTGAAAATGTATACACATATAAAAGGCTTCAAATATATTTTTCTCATTCAAAGTTGTTCAAAGCTGCTTAAAAAATATCTGCAACCATCAATTGATAAAGTCAAACCAACATTTTACTTTTTCACGATAAAACCATAATAATAAATTTTCGTGAACCCCCGTTTATGAATAACGAACCCCCATTACTACGTCAGTCCAACCCCCAATCTACGAATGACTTAGGGGTCGGTTTAGGAATCGAAATTTTAAACCTAACCTAACTGAAACACTATGTATATAATCATTTATATATATTAAAGTTTATAATCATCTCATATTATTAGAAAACTATTTTCCCTAAACCCTATAATATGTAATAACAAATTCTTAGTAACTTACATTACTCTATCGTCATACTCATACCAAATCTTTAACCGTATAAATAAATATATATAATATAAAACCTCTTAGACTTAAATCTCTTTTACAGGCCTGTTACATTAAAAATATATATATATAAAAACTTTTTTCATAATACTCACTCGACACAAACTGATGGAAATACGCGAAGGTATATATCTTTGTATCAGAGAATACGTCAATGAAATATTTAGTGAAGAAAGGCAGCTGTAGCTTGTATGAACCGGTGGTGAAAAAATCGTATGCCATTAAAAAACCAGGCATCGAAGTAAATAGTACAACCGCACAAATACTACCTATTAATAATATCGTGATAATACTCTTCAAAATTATATTAGTCTTCATTAATTCATTATATTCAAAATTATTCCTTAAATCCATATACCCATGTAATTTTCGTAATTTTAAAACAGCGTCTTTTAATATATGGTTATTAGTTACCATGGGTAATGTTTTCGCTGTGCTTAAAATGCATAGCGCTGAGCAAGGCGCCACCATTGATAGTAAATCTATGCTCTTCCCCATAGCTATACCTTCACATAGCCAGAAGAACTCCCCAAAAACATCAGTATATAACCACAATATATTAAAATGGTATAAATATTTCAAATATTTGGGTATGTTCGTATAGCCCATCTCTATACCTGAAAATTTAAATGCCTCTGATGTCAAATACAACGTCTTATCGTAATCCATATTAAAGAATAAATGATTTTCACTAATTTTTATTGTTTTAATATTCCTTTAATGTTTTCTCAAGTCAGAACGTCAATAGCGGGCCCTGTTATTAAAAATAAGTATACCATAGAAACTAAACAAAAGATATTGACATCTACAGAGTTAATGAAAGGACTTTAACAAGGCATCAATACTATTATACTAGCTTTCCGCCCGCAGCTTCGCCCGCGTGGAGTTCGGTTATATCGCGTTTCCAAGAGAACCTTTCAAAAGTCTGAGATAAAAACTATCGCATGTTCTTTCTCAAGGTCAACTCTATATCTGTACCAAATTTCATTAAAAACAGTTCAGTGGTGATGCGTGAAAGCGTAACAGACAGACAGAGTTACTTTTGTATTTACAATATTAGTAGGGATTTTATTAGTTTATTGCTGGTTAGAAAAAATTCTAAGCTCCAAGTTAAATATGCACAGAGTACACACGAAGCCGACGTAATTGTATAGTATAGCGGCGGATCAAAGAACACTTTGATGTCTTAGATACAACTTAAATGCTCTTGCTATTTTTTTGCTACCTACGTTTTATGGTTCCGTATAAAATCCCTACTAATATTATAAATGCGAAAGTAACTCTGTCTGTCTGTTTGTTACGCTTTCACGCCTAAACCACTGAACTGATTTTAATGAAATTTGGTACAGACATAGAGTTGACCTTGAGAAAGAACATAGGATAGTTTTTATCCCAGACTTTTGAAAGGTTCTCTTGGAAACGCGATATAACCGAACTCCACGCGGGCGAAGCTGCGGGCGGAAAGCTAGTTACTATATAAGTATGAATTCACATTTCTATATAAACAGATTTAATTATGTGCATTTCTTAAATAATTTATCCTTTACATAATATATTACACTATGAACATAGAAAAATATATATATATACTAGATTTGCCTGCGACTTCGTCTGCGTTAGTTTCATAATTAGAAATGTATGGACCGGGCGAACTCTATTCCTCCTTAAAGACATTAGATAAGAAGATTTTGGTTTTGATCAAATATTTTTTTCTTTTTCAATCGTATGAAAAGTATCCTATGTCCGTCTCCTGGTTCTAATCTATCTCTCCACCAATTTTCAACCATATCCGTACAGTCGTTCTTGAGTTATAAATAGTGTAACTAACACGACTTTCTTTTATATATATATATATATATATATATGTATATATATTCTAAACTCAGTAATATCTCAAATAGTCAAGATATCATGTTTTCCCGTTGCACGACATTCATGTACATGTAGGTAACACAATCTATTGTCCTTATATATATAAGGAAATCTTGATAATACGTATCTTTCATTTATACACTAAGTACATTTAAATATATCAATACCAGTGGCGGCTGGTGGGTAATAGAACCGGTGGTGCACTTTACTAAAATATTAAAATTAGAAAATGCAACAAAACATTACGAAATGTCAAAAACGGCTCAATTCGTCATACATCGGGTGCTCTCGGTAATCTTCGGCCGCTCGTGCGGCGCTCGAGAACCGACTCATTACTCGGTACATTTCTATGAACTATCTTTTGTCACGCGTCAGGCGTATTAATGCGTATCTCATACAAGATGTATTAGGAGTCCTCGTGCACTCGCCGAAGCGCACGAGATATTAATGTATTAAAGCGCTCAAACTTTTTGACCATAATTAGGAAATTTAATTGTTTATACGTTTTTGTATGTTTAAAAAATAAATATTAAAGTGTTAATTTAAATAATAAAAATAAAGATGAAGTAATTTTTATAATTTTTAAATCTTTTGAATTGGTGGTTCAGCGCACGAGTGCACTTAAGGTACAGCCGCCACTGATCAATACTCTTGAAATATTTAATAATAATGAAATAATAATATTTTACAAAAAAAACACATTTTTGTCAAATTTTGACCGTTAAGACTTAATTTTGTGTTGGATAAAAATATATTATTTTATTACAGATTTCTTTAACTTAGGTTCCGTATACGACCGTAATGACATATTGACAATATTATATATTTTTTTCATATATTTATGTTATAATAGCTCCTGTCTCTTGCTTTGCATGCATTTAAAACTCTCTGAAATATAATCATCAAATTTCATTGATTTTCTCGAAGTTTCTTATTTGATGACAATGAAATTGCCACAGTAAAAAAATATTATAATATTTGGTCTTAAATTGAAGAAGTAATAGCATAACCCTTATAAGGCAAATAGAAATTTTTCACAACTTAGAAATTTGTGAAATAATGTCTCAAAATACTTATGTATAACAACCTCCCAATGAAGTTCTCATGAAAATCGGTCCAGCCGTTTCAAAAACAGAAGAAATCATTTAAAAAAGTTATTTAAAAATATCTAAATCGAATATAAATTGTTAATTTCACAATTATCAATTAATACTATTTTTAAAAACAAAAAGATGTTTAATATGAACCAAAAAAGAAATGTTTTCCACCAAAAAATATTAGTTTATATACTGTTATATTATTATTAATAATCTTTCATAATTTCTCAAATAACTTTTCAATATTAAAATTAATGAATAATTAATAATATTGTTCAGTTTTATTATTTCCACGTATGTAATGTGGACGTCATCTTTAATTATATACCATTAATATATGTTAATACAAACAATACAGCATATTGTTATATATCATTACCATTATATATTATTATAGTTACATACTTCAATATTACATAATAATTAAATGTACTGACTATCTATGACGACATATATGTAAAATTCTCGTGTCGTGGTGTTAGACGGAGAACTTCTCCGAAACGGTTGGACCGATTTTGATGACATTTTGTGAGCATATTGAGTAGGTCTGAGAATCGGCTAACATCTATTTTTCAGATCCCTTAATGATAAGGGTTGTTCATTTTTAATTTTTTTTTCGGACGAATTTTTTTGTTTTTATTTTTTTAAAGTGTAGCATTAAACATACATACAACCCAACATTTTTACTTTTTATCACCCTTCTCTATTTTTAAATGGTAAAACAACGTTTGTCCGATCAGCTAGTATATGTATATTTAATATTTATGTACATAATATGTAAAAGTGACAAATTTCAATATAAAGAGATATACTTAATTGTATTTTATTCAGATTTATTTTTTGAACTGTTTCTTGACAGATTATATAAAGTTAAAATTCATAATTTTTTGTTTAAATAATTCTTAAAATGATAAAATCCACGTACAACTACATACTGTTTATATTTTGTGATTAATTAACCATGGGTCTATATATTAAATATTAGTAAAGTTATTTTTCAGAAAAAAAGTCATATAAAATGATAAATTTAAAAATAAAATAATCAATTGTATTTGTAAACTTATTTGTTTTTTTCTTTTACACATATGATAAGAAAAAAACATTTTTTTAACAACAATGAAAATTTCGTTAAAATTTGTCAACGACTGTCAAATAAGCATTATATTAAATCTCATTGTAATTTTTCAATTTCAAAGTGTCAGATGTAAAGGTGACATTTTTGACATTTCATCGTGACGTCACTAACGTCTTCTATCTCACTCTTACTTGTATCGGTTATTTTTTGTCTCCCTCTACTACACCGTGTGATTCTTTAATTCATTGTTTTTATAAGTTTAAATTATAGTTAGCTATATCTCTCATTGTTTCTGCTACTTAAATTTATTATTCTATTTGTATTTGTAAGTAAAAATAGTGATTATAGCTCACATTTTGTTAAATATGATAAATATTTTGAGTTCAAAGCATATTTTGTGAATAACGGCTTATCATCCTTGTAAGGCATTGTTTAAATCTTTTTATAGCTTTCGCTTTTGTTCTTGGAATTGTTAAAATATTTTCAGTTTATTGTTTTATTGCTGGATTTAAGCAATATAACTTTTTCTTTCTACTTATGAATCCTGCCGACGATGGCTGAATCTTTTGTCTCTTGCGCATGTATGGGTATTTCATCATTCTATCTCTTTCTACAACAGCGACATAGGTTTTGAGAAATAGAGTGAGAGAGCAATACTTTATCCATTAGAGTGAGCGAGATAGAAGATTTCCTTCGTTTGAAAATTACTGTTAAACGCTTTTCGAAGAATATTCAAACAATATAAGCCGTATTACAAGGACAGTTACTGAAAAAAAATAAACAAAAATACAAAGAAACCATAAAATTTCTCTTTTAACAGCCCAAGTGAGAGTTGTAATAATATAAAAACCATTATTATATAGAAATATGTAATAAAAATAATATCTGAAATAAGTTATTTAGTTATATTTTGTTGTATACTAAGCGAAGGACCATGTAAAGAGAAAATATTTAATAAGGAAGTTGTAATATTTTTGTATTTTTGTTTTGATGTATATTATTAAGTAATATATATTAATTATTAATATATACATAATTATTTCTATATAAACTAGTTTCATTTCTTTTCATGTTCTAATACCACAGAAACAAGATTCATTTTTAAATTAAACTTAGAATTTCGTTATTATATATAAATATTAATACTTTCTAGACAAAACCTAAATAAAATATATCATTACATTAATAATACTAGAACCGAGTCAAATTTAGATATTTTAATTAAACAGATAATTAGAAAATTACGTTCTCTTTGTTGATTAGGTATGTCAAAAAACATTTGTAACTATTATTATTGATAAATGCTATTTTTGAAAATTATATTGCTATATTAGACGCAATCAAAGAATGAAAATTATTATTTAAACAAATTGTACTGTTTACGTTTGTGGTAGCCATATTTGTTTTAGTATTAATATTACATTAAACTTTGAACAAGACTTTCATATCAGTTACAAAAATACTGTCTTTACAATGTATATAGCAAATGTGTTTAAAATCAATAAATCTTATTTATTTTTGATATATTTTTAATTGATTGGCTAATTAAACTAGTATCTCATTTTACTTGAGTTTCTGATATTAAAACATGCCTAGATACTGTTATTTAAGAATGAAAATAAGGTATTACGTTAAATAACTTAAATTATTTGAATTTAATAGACTGAGAAAAGTTACAAAATTAATATTGCATGTCGAATTAAATACTAATACGTTAATAATGATTAAGGAATATTAATAATTATATTTAATTAATAGTTTGTAATAGATTCACGTTAATATCTTTTTATATATTAAATGTTTATATAGGGTTATAAATAAAATTTCAGTGATAGCAACTTAAACGATGACTTTTAATACAATTCATCTATATTACAATAGTTTTGTACAACAAATAATAAAAAAAGGAGACATTTTAATTCGACCTTACACAGAAATAATAAAAAAAAAACATCAAAAAATTACAATATAAGAAATGGCGGGGAAAAATCAAATGTTACTTATATTTATGACCAGACTCGGTTTGTTCATACATTTAGATTATTTGGCAAATAGTTCATACGATATTAAACTTACTAATCGCATTAACTAATAAATACAAAAAATGCTATATTACGGGAATGTACAAGATTACTGTAAAAATATTTAAAAATTAGGTACGTTTTATGAGCTATATCTACACAGTACATTACAACAACGCGACGGCCGGGACCGGCATCATAAGGTCGAATTAAAAACAATTAAATGAATAACTAATTTAACTAATGGAGCATTAACGAAATAACAGACCTTTTCGTGATACATTATTATTATGACAAACAAAAAGATCTAGTATTCCTCATCGACTAGCCGCCGGAACAATTTTTATAAATCACAGTATAACAAAACAAAATGGCCGTCTTATAATGTTTACTCACAAGTTTTTTAACGGTCACCGCACATGCCACAGGCCGAGGTTTAAAACACTTAGCCTAGGAAGTTTGACTATATGATCCAGGCCTTGTGGTGTGATGCAAGTACATCCATATAGGTCTATCGCTTTTAGATTTCTAAGACCGTCGCCCAAAGCTCTAAGTCCACGATCAGTAACTCGGGTACATTGGCCTATATTAAGTGTCTCTAATTGTGATAACCTAGCCACTCTTTCTAGACCCTCGTCGGTAAGGCGACAGGCGCTCAATGATAAACATCTTAAACCTGATAGGCCGAGGGTCGCGTGTGATAGGGCTTCGTCACCGACTTTGTCGCAGAAAGATACGTCTAGAGCTCTTAATCTGCCGCTTTCAGCTAGATGTGCGACTCCAGCGTCTGAAACTCCGTCGCATGCTCTAAGATTAACGTCCTCTAAATGAGGTAATCTAGCTAGGTGTCGGAGCCCGGCGTCGGTTACAGCTACACAGAAAGATAGATTGATAGACTTCAGTTTAGGTAGACCGGTCGCAGCATGTTTTAACGCCTCGTCTGTAAGCCGCTGACAGTCTTGGAGCCCTAAATGCTCTAATTCCGGAGTCCCTCTCGCCTCCCCGCCGCCGCAGAGATGAGCTATACCGTCATCATTAACATGCCAACACGACCTGAGGTTCAACCTCCTTAATTTCCTCAGTCCCCACGCTATCAACAACAATCCTGTATCCGTCACATTACAACACCCTCCCAGTTCTAATTCCTCCAAGTTCTTCAAAGACTGCGCTATCCTCCCCAAAGAGGAGTCCGTAACTTGTTTACACAGAGACAGATCTAAACGTTTAAGAGCCGGTAACTCTGTAGCGAAGGCGCTAGCCAACGCCGCGTCCGTAACACTATAACAACCACTCAATGATAGTGACTCCAAGCCGGGCAGAGCTGCCACCGCGTCTCTCAGTCCTCGTCTGAGCGACAGAACTTGTAACCTCCTCACTCCTCGCCTGGCTAGCGACGCGAACAGAACAGGCGCCGGTCTGCGGAGATGTAAGGCGGCCTCTACTCCTCGCCACACGGACCGCCTATCCGCCGCGTCCCTCCACGAACGACACACTTGAGCCGCCCTACCTCTGTCCCTCACCGGTAACCTCTCGAAGATCAAAGCGAGCAGTTCCGGGTACAGCCTCGATATATGCGTCCCTTGGACTTCAGGCTCCGGCACGTGGCTCGCGAGGTGCGGCCGGTGCAGTCTGTACGGCGCGGTCCTATTCTTCCTCCTGTTCGTGTGTAGCTCGGTGATGCCGAGCTCGTCCCGCCATGACAGCACCTCCTCCGTCCACGCAGTCATCTCTACGGCTCGTCACCACGTCATGCCGCACGTCCGCTCCGCTCGGCGCGCGGCGCTCTACTGACGATGTCGTCGCCGCTCCCCTCCCGCCGTCCTACTATTGGCTGACGCACGTGACGCGCGGTGTATCGATTCGGAGGCTCTGCGGCGGCATTTTTAACTTGGAGCCCAGAGACCGCCGCCGACCCCTCCCCCGTCGCCCCGCACCCCGCACGCCCCGCACCCCGCAGCCCCCGCCACACCGGCTACGATATACAAAGATTAACAATAACACAGAACCGACAACAATATATGTAATAATTTATTTTACTGTTACTACTAAGTACTCTTTTCAAATGTTTATTGTAGTCGACAAACTCATCCTTTTATACATTGTTCATAGCACATAATATGTTGTATTTATTGCATTATTATTTACATGTACATTATATTTAAATCTCATATAATTGATAACCTTGTTAAAACGTTACTTAAGTGTGAAATAACCAAACATATATATAAAAACAAGCTTTTAATTCAAACCATGACGTAGCGTTGATTGTATGTATCTTCATGTTTAAACTTATTTTAGTTTAATTAAAACAGGTATCGAAAAGTTAACTCAATAACAGTAGCAAGACTTAAAGATTTTTCATCTCTATTTTCCTGAAAAATTTTAGTCTAAAACAAAAATTTATCAAATTTATTTTCGTTGTAATTTAAAGTGAAAACATAAAAACGAAGAAATGTTAATTATATATTAATGACAATACTTATTGTAACTATTTATTAAAACGAGCAGGATCTCTACCTGCGACTTGGAATATCGCTTTCGCGATGACTGATTTTGTTTAAATTTAAATATTTTTCTCTACATTGGTCTCATTTAAAAAGACGACGAAACTTCTCATCATGTATTCACGGTACGTGTGTCGGGTCCATCGTTGTAGTTAAAGAGGAGCTTCAACAATGACTGGGACTTGTGACCCAGGTGTAGGTTTAACCCCCAGGTGTAGGTGTAGGTGTAGGACCCCTATATAACGCGCGTTAAACGCTCACTTCCATCGTCCAAGCTCCTCTCTCTACCAAATTTGAAACGAACCTACTAGGGCTGCTTTTGACGTACGTTCCAAGAATGAATTAATGTTAGTTTTGGACAGGCCCAAGTCTTTTAGTAGTTTGAAGAGATAATTCAAAATCTTTATAAAAATAAAATGCATTTAGTTTTCTTAAGTATAATGTCAACCCTTTGTGAATTATTTTCTTTATTATTATTACGGATTAATTTCATACGCGGTTTTATTTCTCTACTAGTTGTGGAGTTCGCTTATATCGCGTTTCCAAGAGAACCTTTCAAAAGTCTGGGATAAAAACTATCCTATGTTCAAACTCAAACTCAAACAACTTTATTCAATATAGAAGCATTACACTTTCTTATTGATGGTCATTTGAGACACTACCGCCGGTTCGGAAAAGAAAATACCCTGACCTGAGAAGAACCGGGGAAAGAAACTCAACGGGTTTTATTTTAATATATATTTGTCTCATATGTTATATACACAATTTAATATGAGATGAAATAGCCAGGAGGCGATCGTTTCATTCCCAAGGTGTGCTATCGATCATAAGCTCATTAATTGTGTAGTAACCTTTTGCACACAAGCGTTGCTTAATAATTTCTTTAAATTTAGCAACAGAGGCATTTTGAACGCTTTCTGGGATCCTGTTGTAAAACCGTTTACATTGCCCCACAAAGAAGTTACTGACTCTATGTAGTCGAGTAACAGGAGTAACAAGTTTATGTTTGTTCCTTGTACCAATGCTATGAGTATCATATTTTCTCATGAAATCATTAATATTTTTTCGTACTTTTTCGTTCTCTCTCTCTCGCTCTCGTTCGTTCTTTCTCAAGGTCGACTCTATCTCTGTACCAAATTTCATTAAAATCAGTTCAGTGGTTTAGGCGTGAAAGTGTAACAGACAGACAGAGTTACTTTCGCATTTATAATATTAGTAGGGATAAATCATATAGTTGACGATTTAAATACTTTTTTGTTGTTTCGTTTAAGAAAGACGTGGAAATATTTATTTTCTGCACATTTTTACTATTTCTTTTATTTTTATTTTTTAAAATCTATATTTGAATTTGTATTTATTTTTTAAAAGTACCTAACTGTTTTATACAAATAAATTATAAACATATGTCAATTATTCTTCACGGAGGATTGATAACGTTAAGTATAAAATTTCGAATAAAATGTATTAATCTATGAAGTTAGTGATAAGGCGGCAAAACAACTCAGCGCGCCGTATATTTTCGTTCGCGTTGCACTTGCCGACGATTTAGGACCATTTTATAATGACCCCTATCACTGCTCGCGACACTCTTAATGCTATAGTAATAAGGAAATCTACTTAGTATGACACAGGTCAAGTTAACTGGCCGCCTGATAACATCGGCCAACTATTACAAGGGCAACCGGTTGCTGGCTGAATATGATATTCGAAATTCGAATTCAATCGGCCCAGAAAGGAACGGTTCCATTTTTAAAATTTACTTAATATTATTTTTTTGTTTGTATGCTTGATAGTTTAAAGTTTTTTGATTAATGCCTTTTAAAAAACATTTCGTGACTTAAACGGCTGAATGATGTTTTTAATGATATTTAAATTGTAATATAAAAAATGATGATATGAAACCGGAAATTGAGTGCCGTGATAAACCTTGCCAGCCAAGGATTTGAGTATTAAGACCTGCGAAACTGGCCATTTTAAAATAAATATTAGAGGCAAACTCTACATTCCATACATTAAAGATATAAAAAAATGCATATTTTTAAATAACCACGTTTTAGTCAAAGGAAGAAAAATAAGTCTCAAAAACATAAGAATATTTTACTAAACGGTGATTTAATTTTATGATTCATTAACTTCATAATAAACTATACGAGTACCGCTAAATTACCAAAAAATATGTTTTTGTTATTATAAAAAAAATATGTTTAAAATTTGATAATTAATTATAATGATATAAAAATAAGCCGGCCATGTTTAAATTATAATACAGGTAAAATTACACACACTTATCACTCTATAAGCAGCTGTATTCGAATACCGAATAGGAAACTCCCTTAAATTATTACAAAAACGAACTCTATTACATTATGTTATAGTTCAAATTTCCTAATCAATAATAAGTGATACAATAGAAGCACCCTATAATACCAACATTGTAAAAGCGACCCTATATTTAGACAGATAGATACTAAAATTATTTAGTATCTAAATAATAAAGGAGTGTTCTGTAAGTAAAACTACAAATAAATATAAACCTTCTTTTCATATCATAAGGTTTAAATTTAAATGTTATTTTCCTGTAAACATAGAATGTAAATCAGCTGTTGTGTGTGTGTGCGTCGTGCGTGCAGTCAACCGTTCCACTTGACTCGTTCTGTTTTTAAAATTACATTTTTTTTTAATTCATCGGGAAATAGGTTCGTGTTTTAAAATAACACATTGTTTTTGACTTTATAATTATTAAATGATAGAAACCTCTTTGGTGATAAATCCGTGGTGTTAAAAGACCTTATTTTTATTGCTTGTGTATACTATAGTTCTTTATTCGTATTGATCTCTATGAATTGGTATTGCGTAGTTTGTTAATAAAATTATGTCAACGTTTATTGCCATAATATATGAGCATAAATATTATTTATAATGTGGAATCGCATTATTTCATCGTAAAAATACATTAACATATGGTAAATCATAATATTAAACGTTTTTATCAAAAAAAAAAAAATAGGAAGCTTAGGACAGAAAATAAAAATTCTGTAACACTTTATTTTTTTAGAAGGGACCTAAGACTAGCAATAATTTTTTTCTTATAAAGATTTTAATATTACGTTTTCTTAATTCCAAATATTATTAATAAGCTATTCGAAGCGTGATCCGAATTTGAATTTCGAACATGCTTTCCGCCGACATTCCTTTGAACGTATGATTCACATAATATTTTTTTTTTCGTCGCGACATGACAGCCGGAGGCTCTGTTTTTGTAGTATTTTTTTTCCCGCCTACCTGAGACGTTGCCATATGGTACACGCGATTCTGTATCATTTAAATATACACTTTATATTAATAGCATTAAGAGTCATATTAGACTGGCACTGAATCACGACGCGGTGGGTACAACTTCGAAATTATTTGTAAACTTGTTCACATAATATGATATTTATTTTCTTTGTGAATTAAGGAAAGAATATCTTACATATTTTTATATTCGCAAAACTAGATTATAGCAATACTTATGTGAAATATAAAATTATTTAAATACTATGTAGATTATTGTTATGAACTACTTTTAATATATCTGCCGATTTATAAATTATATATTATTCAAGATATTTAAATAAATATCTTGTATAAAATATTTTGTATACTTATAAATAAATATCTTGTATAAAATATTTTGTATACTTTCAAATAGCACGGTGTCTTGTTGAAAAACGGGTTTGAAAAATCAGAAGCAAACACAATATAGATAATATTTTCTAATACTAAGATAAGTAAATTAAGAATACATTAAATTACTATGCTTTGATCTATATAAGTATTTATATAACTAAAAGTAACAGAAGCATTTGCAAAAAAATGTATCAACGCCATCTAGTGACGGATAGCAAAATAATATGAAAGCGCCACACGTCGGTGACTAGATATTTCATAGATCTTGTGTTTTATGTATATTTAAAGCGAAAAATAGATGGCGCTTATATAAAAATCCTAATATAGGGTTACAATGCTAGACAATATTTCTAAATAGTTTTACCTGTACCAATATTAATTGTTATTTACTTATATATATATATATTTATTTATTTGTCAATAAATAATAAATTAAAACAATCATGAGAGTATGTTCAATAAGATTTGTTGTTGAAGTCGGTAAAGTGGTTGTGCATGTTTTGTCTAGCGTCTAACAGTTAACACAGAGATGTATGTAGTAATGAATTTAATATACATATTTGAAGTAATTATATTTTAGTGTCAATAATTGACTATAATGCATAAATTTCATAGTTTGTTTAATAAATAAATTTCATAGTAAGTTATTCAATTCATTTTATATTTATAAAAATATTGGGAATCATTTGAAAATTGAAACCGGGTGACAATTCTGATTTTTAATATTAAAGTATTGAAAGACAATGTTTCCATTTATTATAATAAAAATATTGCCTTTGATGAA